GCTCCGACCCGCCGGCGGTTTCCGGCGGGTCGGAGCGTTTTCCGGCCAACTCCGGCGAAATTGACGGCGGGCACCAACTCCAATGTGGTCGTGGCATCCGGGCGAGGCCTGGAAGAAAAGAAAAGAAGAAATGGGGTCAAATTGAAAATTTTAAAATATATAAAAGTTGAATTTGGCCCTAATGACCGGAAGTTAACCTAGAAATGGGCTAATGGCTCATTAGTGAAAGAATTGTGTAAGTTCAGGGATTTTTGTGAAAGGATTTGAAGTTCAGGTACCACTTCGAAATTCCAGCTAAAGTTCAGGTACCATTGGTGAAATTTACTCAATTCCTTCCGGATTTTTAAATTTCTATATGTTACGGGCCAGAAAAAAGGGTGAATAATGATAATGTATGTTTATTTTATAATTAAGTACTCCGGGTAGTATATTTATGTGATTTTGCACACTTATATATGCGGGTAAATGAAATCGTTTTTTGCCCCTCTTTTAAGTGCAGGAAATTATAAAGTGCGTAATTTTATTACCACACTTTCATGTGCGGCGAACTAAATGAGGCTAAAAGGCTCTTTTCTTGTAGTGAGTAAATATTATTACTAAACTCAAATCATACAATTTGGATTCAAAAAAAATTGTGTACAATATATCATAACACCATAGTATTATATAAAATTAAACACTGTAGACAATAAAATTAGATATAGTGAGTCTTAATCATATTTGTGTTCTTAAACTACAACTTACTTATTCTATAAAAACAATATACATTACGTAATTCATTGTTTTTCAACTGAAATTTATTGTTAGTGGATGTATTATGATTTGGTATTAGTAGCCCTTGTTGTTGGACTCATAAAGTCATAATTAGGTTAGACTTATAATCTATAAATATTCCGTTTGAGTTTAATAAAATTCATTCACTTCGTGTCAATTTTTACATTGTACCGGCCGAGCCAAATCCTAAGCACAAAGTGCAATTTTTGACCACATGCAACTAGTTGTAGGGTGGAGTATAGTTCTCAACTTGGCAAATCAAGCAAATCACATAAGCCTCGTGAGACATCATCACGAGGTATTATGTATTAATAAGTATAAGATACCAATGACTAATTTACTTAAAGTAGCAATGGAAAGAATTAAATATGTACATACATACATACATTGAAATATGAGATGAAGGATGAGAATTACTGCTATGAGAAATCAAGTGAACTTGCTCACACAAATGTCATGATCCTCAAAAACACTTTAAAATTACATAAAGGTAAGCTCACATGGCTCAAATGCAAGCTGACATATGACCCCTATTTAATTCTCTAACAAGTTAAAGCATACATCAACATTACACTAAAAAGATGTACATTTATTCTGAATTGGAAAGTCTATGTGTTGTCAGTGAGATGCACTCGAGGTACTTAATTACTTTCGTTTCTCACTTTCTTGTGTATAGATGAGAGAGACAAAGGATAATTTTCTAGCATTACTACTGAAGATCGTCTCGACATTCTATTTAGTGATCATGAGAGACGCCAATGTACTTTTAAGGTATACTCCTTCCATTGTTTAAAGGAGTTCCATTTTTCATTAGACTTAACTTTTCAATTTTGTCTTTTGATGTGATGTGTAAAATATGATTTGATAGATAAATTAATAATATGTAGATATGATGTACTCCGTATTAGGTAAAAATTAATAGGGTAAAATAGACTTTTTAATAGAAAGTATAGGTCTTTTATAGAAATAGTGAAAAGTAAGAGCGGAATTGTTTTACTCCGTATAAAATATAAGGAGTATGCTGCAGACAACTGTTTAAATATTTTGCTATGACTTAGGCCTTTGGGATAGAATCATGACCTTATCTTTGAAGTTTATTTTGATTTTTTGGAGGTACAACCTATAGAACAGATCCTGTTCAAGTAAGGTCGTGATGTTTTTTTGGTTACTAACACATGATTCATGTCTTTATTATAAGGCTTCTCATCATGTCATTGATATAGGTATATGTTGAAGAATGGAGATGTTCTTTTTGTAGATAAATAATAATTTTGATAATATTTTAGACAATTGTCAATAATAATTTTAAAAAATACTTCGAATGATACGGAGTATTTTTTATTTAATTTTTTAATTATAATAGATTTTTTATATTGTATGGAATATATATATTTTTCAATGATTATATAATGATTTTGTTATAACCGCATTATTTAAAAAACTAGATATAACATTATTTCAATAAGTACTTCTTTCTTCCATAATTACTTTTTAATTGAACAAGGAAATCTAATTTCTCATTAATTCATTCGTTTCTACCACGTTCAAACAAAACAAAGTAGTGAAAGTGTAACTCTCACTCCATTACTTGGCAAAAAAAAGTTCAATTATAGACATAAGGCTTACAAGGTATATGTAATACATGGACCTTCTTGGGTCATAAACACTCATTTGTTTAGCCTTGTTATCAAAGACACTTCATTGTACATACACACACTATGTCTACATGTGAGGCATTTTTGCCTTGATTTCCTCACCTCCCCTATCCCCAACATAAACTATAATTTAAAAAAAAAAATATCATCTAATATACCGGTCGGGCAGCAGCAAAGTTGAAAGTGAAGATTCCTCTGCTACTGCGAGAGAGAGACGCATTCGAGCTCAACCTCCAACACTCCCCTTTCGACATTCAGCAGCTTCAAGGCTATAACCTGCTTCACAGTACCTTCTACTAGGCTTATAACACCATCTGCCACCAGTGTGTTCTCTTGGCTTGCTTTCCACGTTCCGAGCTGCATTGTTTCATTGTTGGACGAACTCTCGCAAGCTCTCGCTGCTGAAACAAGAGGTTGAATGTCAATCTCCGCTTCCCCCATGAAATCATCTGTTGTAAATGTATCCTTGTCAAACACATGCTGCAAAATCATTGTCGGCGACACTTAAATCCGGGAAAAACAAACAAAAAAAATAGAGTAAGTTCTATAAATAATCCTTTATAACGGGGGTTTTTCTATATTTAGTCCATATTTATCAAATATTATGTTTGCAGTCCTTATTAATTGGGTATCATTCTACATTTAGTCCTCCGTCTATTCTTCCGCCTCAGTGCTCTTACACAAAGGCGAAACGTACCAATCAATAAGGACTGTAAACATAATATTTGATGAATATGGACTAAATATGGAAAACCTCCGGTTATAGAGTACTAATTATAGAATTTACTCAAAAAAAACACAAAAGAGTTCAAATTAGGGTTGCATAATAAGCTTACCACTTTTAGAGGTGGAATGTTCTCTGGAATTGACAGCATTAGTTGCTCATTCCATACCGGGTTTAAATTGTTTTTAATGACACGAGTTTTCACCGACTGCAAGTTAGAAAGATGTCAAAAACTTGAAAGAGTATAATAATCCAATTCAAAAGCTCAAACCAAAATGAATTCCAAAAGAAAGACCTTGTCTCACCTGGCTTCCTAATGACAGAATAACGTAAGGATCACTAGATACCATATCCCTGATAGCAAGATTGGTGCCCCTCACCACATTCACTTTGATCAATCCTATGAATTCAACCATACCTGCCTATTGAAAAATGGGCACAATAATACCCGGCTGTTTTAAATAGACCTAACATATTCATCCATCTCAAACTTGCGTCAGACCTCACTTTTTTGGGCTAAAAACTAATGTGTTCCCAAAAGTTTTCTGTTTTCAAAAGTGATGGTTTCTAGCTTGAAAGTATTTGCAGCAGGATAACTTACCGTTGAGTTGCTTTTCCTGGTTCCCTTCTGCTGTTCCGATTCTTTCTTTCTCCAGCTGTTTCGAAATGCGTGTCCCAGACCATGAATTCGATGACCAGAAGAATGTTTCTTTTCTGAGGAAGAAGTGGAAGTTGTGGCGGGGCATATCAGCTGTAAATCAGAGTTCACAAACTGTTGCAGCTCATATTTTCTCCTGAGTGGATATCCAATATGAGAAACTTTCAGCATAGAAATATATTCCAATGTGAGCTTTCATTATGGGATTGGAGAATTATCACCTTATAAAGTCTGATCTCTCTTCTATAGAAGAATCTGGTTTTGGCTTTTTATAAGTACTTTCTGGACGGGCAGCTTCATACTTCAAATTTGCGACGTTATTTCCACCCATCTCATTTAGCATGTCAACTTGCTCATGTGTCCACTCATCCAACTTCACTGAAAACACCTGGAGACATGGAATTAACTCATGTGAGAGGAAAGTCATTCTAGAATAACGGTAAGGTCATGGCATTGCATATTCAAGAGGTGAGTTTCAATCATTCAAAAACAACGTAGTTTTTCTTCTGAAATGTAATATTTCCCAGGATAAGAAATTAAAGCCAAGAGTGTGGATAAATCAATCCACAAAGATGGTGAAGTTTTTTTAGAGTTTTTATTTTTTAGTTTTTTTTGTAAATTCTATTCGGTTGATGTAGAACATAGTCTGTAAGGCATCGCCTAGGCGATAAAGCATTGTCCCTTGGATGCCTAGTCTTCTCGCCTCACCCAGAAAACCTAAAGGCGTCCAGGCACTCGCCGAGGCGTCGCCTTATATATATATATTTATATATATATATATATATATATATAGAATTTGGTTCTGGTGAGAATGCAATCTTAGGAGAGAAATGAGAATGAATCTGGTGCTTTAGATTGTGAGATCTAAGGATCAAGATTTCATCAATATTAGATGCACCAAAATGGTGCGAAAATGCATAACGTCGAAATGCACCATAAACCTTTGAAAATGCACTATCTCAAATCTGGGTGCAGGATGCAATCTGAGCCGCACGATGCATCAGATCCGACGGCTAGATTTTATTCTCATTTCTCTCCACAAGGTGCATTCTCACGGGAACCGGCCCCTATATATATATATATATATATATATATATATATATATATATATATATATATATATATATATATATATATATATATATATATATATATATATATATATATATATATATATATATATGACACCTAGCCATTGCCTAGGCGATATGAAGGTACATTGGCACCTCGCCTTGCCTTGGCGCCTTACAAACTATGATGTATAAATGCATTTTCCTCTCATATTTTGTGTGCACTCATACCTATTAGACCCCAGGTATTTTTCCCAACACCTTGAGAATCATTGTTACTTAGCCAATTACAATTCGGGAAAAAAACAGGGTATGTTACCCAACCTTTGATATATGCACCCCAAGGCTTCTATGTACACCAGAGCACTTGATACATATAAACACTCCCAAGCTTAAAGATCTGAAAATCAGAAAAGAAAAAAAAGAGCATACAATTAGTAAGGTGAAAAAACTGTCTTATACATATAGTTCAAGCAACTTACACCCATTTTGGATCTGGAGATCCACAATCTGCACAATATTTATTACCAGACTCTTTCAATAGAGACTCTAATCTACTTCGAGGACCTGATAGGAACAAAGTATTAGCTACCACAAAAAGAATATGGAGTATTTAATAAGAAAAACAAATGAACATTATTTAATTTTGTCAAATGAACCAATGCAATAAATTACATGCTCAAACTTGTTGTTGTAAGCCTCGGAAATGTTTTTATAGTACAAGACACTCCCTCATGGGAGTGGATTGTAGAAGATGAAAAAAATTGAGTAGTAGTAAATTGTAGTAAGAGCTAGAGAAAACACATTCTAGTTTCAATACAAGAACAAGATATTAGAGAATCACGTACTCAAAGAATGCTCTTGAATTTCCATTTCCGCTTGGTCACTAGAACGTGGAGAGGTTTCCAGCTGGAGAAGCTCATAGAGGCAGGAACCTTAATAAAAAAATACAAAACTGTTAAAAACTACTCCCTCCAGTCTTAAATAAACTTCTGTTTATAATATAATTTGCAGTGTAAGATGCTTGATCTAAGTTGTTTTAACTCAATTTATTTGAATATTAGAGTGGAACTGTTGTTTGACAAATTTGAATATTAGAGTGGAACTTTAATAATAGAACTTACATATTTAAAAATTAAATCAATAGTTTTCAAAATAAGAGGTAACATGATTATGATATCCAAACAAATGATTTAAGTAATAAGTAAAAAATAAGATATGATTTGACCATGTGACTAGTAAAGGTAAAATTAGGGACGAATGGAGTAAATAATAGAACAAAAGGTACAAATCTAAGACAAGAAACTCATTTCATGCATCTAAAAGCGGGTCTAACCGGCCCGATAAATACAATAACAAACCCAACAAAATCCCATAAAAGTTAGGATCTAGGAAGGGTGTGTGTTCGCAGACTTTACCCCTACTCGAAGGTAGAAAGGCTGTTTCCAAGAGACCCACGACTCGAGAACAGAGACACGTGCAAAGTAAACATAGTAACACACAAAGAAAGTAAGAGCAAACACTAGAAGCACACAATTGACACTTGCACAAAACACACAAACACATATGCACGAGTTACAAACTCAGGTAAAACATGCACTAACATAAACTACAAATTAAGGTGCTAAGAGTAACCCACTACTGCAAGTTTCTCGTATCTCCTCAAGTGGGCCTTTGCACTTTTCCTCCTCACGTGCCCAAATCACCTCATTCTAGTCTCTCACAACTTATCCTCCACAAATACCACTCCCCCCATTTCTCCAAAAAACTTCGTTCTGAAACTAATCTATCACACATCCACCTCAATATACTCATCTTTTCCCCTTGAAGGTGATGAATGTGAGTTTTGTTTACCGCCCAAGACTTTGCTCCATATAGCATAGTCTTGTGTCCGGTAAAACTTCTCTTTCAAGTTTGTGGATATCTTCTTGTCGCAAAGGACACCTGAAGTTCCACTTTGCCCAAGTGGATCCACAGGTTAACAAATTATTCCAACTCATTGTCATATCATGATATTTTCCATAAGAGTAGAGAGGTCTATGATGGTGTGAAGGTTTTGAAATTTCAACTCGTTTCATTATTTCTTCGTAGGAAAGCTATGACAGAAGGTGCATCTACCCCTTAAACATTGTCATTATGCTTTTCTTTGCATAGATTTGTATTGTTAAGTAACTTGAGAGGCATATGATAGACCCTGCAAATTTCAAGCGACAAGCCAAACAAAATTTTCTTTTGATTCTTTTTTTGCAAAGTTTGCATACACACTCTCCACATGCCTTATTTTTACGTTACTTTTGTGAGATTTTATTGGGTTTGTTGTTGTTGTTATTGTTGTTGTCTTTTTTCTTATGTTTCTTTTGGTCCTTGGGATCCTCTCCCACTATTAATAATATGTTGGTAAGGTTGAGAAGCTTGAGTCAATAATTGGCGCTTGGGATGTTTTGGCATCTCCCGATTCCCAAATTGGAGAGATATCAATCCCGGGGTTTGATGTCTCCCTTAATCGTTGGCCATCTAATGCCAACCACTTTCATTTCATAGTTCAAAACTCATAACAATTCTTTCCGAATTTAGAACCCATATCATATTAACCATCCAAAACTCACTAAATCGGCCTTAAAATTCAAAGTTATTTATCTTTTTTGTATGTGATTTTATTCTCTTTTTTTAGAATTATTAATTTCAAAATCTATATCTTATTAATCCTCCAAAACTCACCAAAAAAGCCCTAAAATCCAAATTTATTTCTCTTTTTTGCATGCACTCTTATGCTCTATTTGTTAGAATTGTTAATAGAGTACTTCTATGGACCCATATCATAACACCTCTCCAAAACTCGTCAAACAAGCCTTAAAATCCAAATTTGTTTCTACCCAGTACCCACATATAAGTACTCGACTAAAAATTCTATTTTAAAAAAACAGAGCATAAGAATCCAAGCGAAAAAAAGAAATGAATACAATATATGTCTGGATAAATAAAGAAAATAAACTACCTGAGCCACAATTGCCCTCTGTCCTTCCATGTCGAGCAGACATTTCTGCCTCCGAAGGGAAAGACCCCAGATCCCAAAAACGTAAATTCACAGCACTAAAATTCTAAAAATCCATTTTTTTGCCCCCCCTCTGCACATAAATTATGGCTCTGAAAGATTAATCCCATGAAATTAACATTATAATTCTAGGAAACAAGAATTAATTAATGCAATGAAAGGATACTTACATTCTCCATTGATCCCCAGGATTGGGATTTCTAATTGCATACAATCGCATTCGTAATTACAGGATACGTTTCATACATGAAGATTCAAAATAATAATACTCTAAAAAGATCATGATTTATTTTTGTCATTAGAAAAATGTCAGCTGATGGTAAATCGGCAAGAAGAAAAGAAAAGAATGGAATTAGAAAAGCAATCGCAACAAAATAGGAAGGGTGGGTGGGTAGATGGGCAATTATTGAATCACTTCGTATCTCTGTTTTAACACGTGGCGTCTATTCAATTCCTTCTGGTGCAGGAGAAAAAGGGTGGTAAACTCCGTGAAGTTGTAAAATTGGTTGGTCAAATGGTTTGAATTTTAATTCTACAATTTGAAATTCTATAAGGCCCCGTTTGGTACACGGAATTCAAACTATGGAATTGGAATTGAGGACTTCAATTCCAATTCTCATATTTGGTAGCACAAAAATTATGTGAAATTGGAATTGGTAGTACAAAAAATGAATTGGAATTGGTGAATTCAATTCTATAGAATTGAATCTCATGGAACTTTAATTCCAATTCCATCAATTCCGTGTACCAAACAGACCCTAAGGATCCGTTTTGTACATGGAATTTAAATCCTTTGTTTTTTTTGGCATAAGACCACTAACATCAATATAAAATTAATGAAATTCATTTCAGAGATGTATATGCATAACTAATTATTCCATAAAATCTAAAAAAGCTTTTTGTGATGGAGTAGTACATTTTATTGGTTGGAAATGGGAACAAAAATGAGAAAGATAAATTATACTCCGCCTATTAAATTATATATACTCCCTCTGTATGTGTTTGTCCAGTTTAATTTTTTGTAGTCAACTAGGATAAACATTTGACCGGTTATTAAATACTCTGTAAAAATTATATGATATATTAATGACATAAAATAATATTTTGAAAACATTTTAAAATATAAATCTAATAGAATTATTTTTGAATCAATATCTAATATTTTTTTTATTTAATCAATGGTCAAAGAATTATTTGATATTTTAAGATGATAATAACTCTATGTAGTAAGTATTCATGTTTATTTTTAGATGACAAATAAAAATGTGTTCTTTGCTCATATTTTTCCTTGGAAATTCCCTTAAACATTCATCTTTAGGAAAAAAAATCAATATGACATTAAACATCAAAGAAGCGTTACAAGAAAAACTATTGAAACCCGAAATTCATAATTTTATAAGACCCGAGACCGGGCTTGAACCTGAACTAGTCCAATCTGGTCCGATTCAAGTCCCAAAAACAGTCTAGACTAGTTTTTGCACACTCACTACTCAACAACCTTCCTAGCTAAAGAATGCACTGCAACATAATCAGTACATGTACTGTTGTACATCAATATGAAATCAAAACATAACCAAAATCATAGTACATAAGATGTAAGCAATCCTCACAAATGTATTAACTTTGATGTTTTATTATTCATTCAACATGTAATCGAAATTACAGGAATCATGTAAAAGCCACATATTATTGAGAAAGAAATGGAGAAGCACAAATGTATATAATATTATATCAGATTCTTAAGCAAAATTTTTATTTAAAAAAAAAAAGAAGGCAGAATCATTCTGCTTTTGCAACTAAAGTGAGCAAGAAATCCTTATAGCTGCCATTGCCAACTTCTTCAATCTTATGTGACAGAGTCACTGCATCTCTTGATGCCTCGTCTACCTCCATTCTCAACGACCCATCCAATATCTGTACATTTAGTTCGTTGTAAGTTTGAGGTTTTGGTTGCGTTGGTTCATCATAAAAAAAATTAATATAATGTTCCTTCTGTCGCGATAAGTTTCATGTTAATTATATTTATTTTAGCATTGAAATGATTATTCATCTCTTTCTTTTTCCCCGTTTGGCAAGAGATTCAGCGTTTAGCTTTAGTGTTTTGAAAAATGCTATGTATCTGATGACAATATTTAACACTAACATTTTTAAAGTTAATCTGCACTGTTAAAAATTTGCCAAAACTCGCTAGCAGTAATTGAAAATACTATTGCCAAACAAGGCCTATTGTGATCAATCTGACCTTGCTGAAATAGACTTGCGGCGTGCAAAGGCATTGCACAGTCTGTTTTAAAGCCCAGTGGCCATTAAGATCCTGCAAACAGAAAGAGAAAGAAACAAAGTGTGAACTAACCTTTTTTTGGTTTTGTTTGTTTTCCATTTGGTGTTCTCTCTTCACGGGCCGTATTGGCAAGGTAAAATTTGGCTAAAACAACTCAAATTGCCCGAAAAGTTGGGGTTGAAATTGCTGCATTTTCTGTCGCTTTTCTCCGCGTATTTTGAAAGTATCTAAAAAAAATGCAATCAAATACGTCAAATTATGCATACCTCGTCCAAGAGCTTGCCAGTGATGTCCTTGTAATATTTGTACACGGACATGAGGTGCAGCTTGCTTCTGGTTGCCAGTATTCTCACAATCTCCTCATCTCCAACAAGGCTCTTGCCACCAGCTGGTTTTATGGCATCCGCCAGCACCTTAGCCTCCGATTTCGCAATGTCTTCGTGCACTTTTGGGCCTTCGTAGCGATATGAGCTCACAAGCGCAACCAGAAGCTTCCAAATGCATCAAACACAACGGATTATTATCAAACACTCCGTATTACATAGAATTAAGACCAACCCAAAGACAACCAAGCAAGATTTTTTTTAGAATTGATGCACAAAGAAAAACTAGTAAGCCAATTGAATCAAGAAATCTGACATTGAAAAATCTCTCAGGCCCCGTTTGGTACATAGAATTCAAACTATGGAATTGGAATTGAGGACTTCAATTCCAATTCTGGTGTTTGGTAGCACAAAAATTATGTAGATTTGGAATTGATAGTGCAAAAAATGAATTGAAATTGACAGAATTCAATTCTATGGAATTGAATCCCATGGAATTTCAATTTTAATTCAATTCCAATTCCGTCAATTCTGTATACCAAATGGACCCTCATATCTTTTGCTAACTTATTCTTTTGTGTATGCCATTTTTGTCTTTCAGCGATAAATTTGAAGTGTCATTGTCAATAATGGAGTGTCAATTACCTTTCTTTCCGGGGATTGGATGTGAAAGGCAATGTCTTCCTCAATGGAATGCTCAAAGAGGGAATGGTAAGCTCTTCTTGCTCCAAAGAGCTCATCAGACGGCCTTGTGCAGGCCGTCTCTATAAGCAGATGGAACTGAGGCCCCTTCACCAATGCTTCCTTCAATAAGCGGGCATCTCTTTCCCAAGGGTGCAATGTATATAGCACCACCGCGTCCTACACTAAAATTGATCAATCACCCACAAGTCCATCCCTAGCCAATGAGAATAAAAAAAACACAAAATATGGTTGTCCCATGTAATAATGCATCCCAAATTAGAGAAATAATTTGAACTAAAGACAAAGATCAATTCACAAATGTTGTGATCTAATCAAGACAAACCTGTGTATAAACTCGCATTTACATAAAAGATGACAACTTGTGATCTAAACCGACGAACTAATATTGCATGTGTCTTGCAACGAGATTTACACACAATATAATCCCTCCATCCCAAGCATATCATCCCACTTCGAACAACGTGCGAAATTCCATCACTCTTATGATGCTTTTATTTACACATTGGTAGAGAAATCAAAACTACAAATTACATGTTTTAAAACTATATCAAAAGTTCTATAAAAAAGATGCGACATGAATATTTTATTTTATCAAATTATCAATGAAAATAAAAAAAATAAACAAAAGTTAATCGAGAGACCAGAATAGTAACTCAGACGATATTTTTGAGAAAGAGGAAGCAATACAAATTATAGTTTCTTGATTTTGTTTTGGAGGGTAGATAATGCAATACTATACCTTGAGACGTAGAAACTCTTGTCGGAGTTGGAGGACGTGCTGCTCATCCCACCTCTCGAATTGGCGTTCGTCTTCCTTGAAGAATTCTCTATTGCTCTTCCTGTAGGATTGCCTTTGCTTCGGGTTCCATTTCCCCAGTACCGATACCAACGCCTTCTCATCCACTCCCAGCCCTGAAATCCAAATGCATAAACCTCTCCTTCTTCAATTCATCTCAGGGTTCTCACCTCTTCTCCCATTTTGATCATATTTTATATTACCCATATTATTTAATCCCTCCATTCACAATTAACAAGCTGCTATTATTTCGCAATATATCAAAAGTTGAATGAACTTATTCACAATTAACGGACCGTTATGACTTTCGTGATGCATCAAAAGTTGAATGAATCTATTCACAATTAACTCACAGGTGCGACGACTTCTGTGTGATGCATCAAAAGTTGAATGAATCTAGACGCGATGCACATCAACATTCATTCAACTTTTTTTTAAATATATCTCAAAAATCTCACTTAAAATGTTCCAATTTGATTTTTTTCCTAAATATGATCAGCAGCACAAACAAACACTGAAATTCCATCTTAATAACCAAACATTGTCTAGCCAGAAAAGATCAATTCAAATTCAGAAGTGATAAAAATTCAAACATAGAAAAGGAAACGGTGCAAAGCAGATAAATGAATGGAAGAGAACCTGAGAATGCTTTGGTGAGAATTTTATGCTCGTCGGAGAATGCCATTGTTCAACTGTTTACTGACTTTGAAATGCACTGCGGATATATAGACGTTTGGAGCTGGGCTGTATTTATACAATGACTGTTAGGGCATTCCGGTCATTTCACTCGCTTCAGACGAAACTGTAGTGCTTTATTATCTCCTGTCCCAACTCCCCAATTAAAAGTTAACAAGAGAATTTGTATTTATTTAATTTGATTTTTTATTCAAATTAAAAGAATTTTGAGATTTTAATTAACTCTCATTTTGTATTTCATATTAATATAATTAAATAAAAATTTTAAATTTCTCAATAAAATAAATTTAATAAAATTATTTTTATGCTAAAATGCATTATGATTTTTATTCAATTGATGCTTAGATTCATCTAATTTAGCTTGATAGAAGTCAAGCTGCACAAATAAACTATGACCCTGAAAAAATAATATACATAGTAAAATACCATATTTTTAGGAAAAATTCATATAAATACTCCCAAAAATATGACTTTTTACAGAACTACTCCCATGTTTGATAATTAATACTTTTGCTCCCAACTTTCTTATATTTTCTTGTCATTACTCCCCACTTGCTAGGTGAGCTCTTAAGTGAGAAAAAAAGTTGGCTTGTATTTTGAGCACTCTTTTTTCATTTTAAATATATTAAAAATTAGAGTCCTAAGTTTTTAATTTAATTTAAAAATTAAATTTTATTTAAGTATATTTCTTGGTATAGGTAATTTCTACATTTACATCATTTTCAACTATATAATTTTATTTTATTAAACTCCGTGGAAACTCAAACCCAAACTATTAATTTATAATGGATGGAGTATTAATAAACATTTTAAATTCATGAGGGAAATCAAATGAAAAAAATAAGACTATGAAGGGGTTGAAAAATGTAATACGAGAGGAAGAAAAGTACGAACACAATGCGCATAAAGAAGACTTAGGGCTCTTTTTTAATAAAACTAAAACGGGAAAAGAGTATTCAAAATATAAGTCAGTTTTTTTCCGCGTAGGAGCTCACCGGACAAGTGGGAGCGTGAAAATATAAACAATTTGGGAGCAATGTGTTAATTATCAAATCAGGGAGTATTTCCATAAAAAACTTATTTTTGGAAGTATTGATGTAAATTTTTCTTATTTTTTTAATAAATTTATTTACAAGTTACGTACAAAGTAGATAAAAATAAAAAATAAAATTTATATATTTAAAAGTATTACTCCATACAAAATAAGAGTATTATGTTAAAAGTATTACTCCATACAAAATAAGAGTTAACACAAATATTTTATTTTATCAAATGATCAATAAAAACAAATAAATCAATAAAAATTTTCAAGAAACTAAAAATGCTAACAATATCTTTTATTTAAGGAGCGAGAAAATAAATGTTAAGCAAGTTTCTTTAGAAGTACCAAATCGCAGAGTAAAATTTACCTTTTTACTTTTTTAATATGAAAAAATAATATGGCCAAAGACTTTATTGTCGAGCGTGGTGCTCTCCCAAATGTGTCGTGGTTCTCTCAAATTAAGTTGCGTGTTTATATTTACGGTGTCAAACTTTATTCATTTTCTTTTTCTAATTTCGTTATATATCTGGTAAAATATTATAGTCATGTTACTTCTTGTTCCATAGAACTTTTGATTCGATGTAGTTTTTAAATATATAAATTTTATTTTTTGATTCTACTCCCATTTCAAATAAATATTTCGAAAATAACTTTAATCAAATATCGCAAACTGAAACATGCTATTTAAATTACACTCAGGGTCGTCTAATACACAGAATTGACGGAATTAGAATTGAATTGGAAGTTAAAATTCTTTGAAGTTGATTTGGATGGAATTGAATTCTCCAATTCCAATTCATTTTTAGTACTACCAATTCTAAATTCACATATTTTTGTGTTACCAAAGAACGAAATTGGCATTGTTGTCTCTAGTTCTAGTTCCATAATTTAAATTCCGTGTACCAAACATATCTTCAATATTTACGTCACTTTTTTTTGTTTCATACCGTTTCGATGTTTAATGCTCATTAATTTGCTTCATCAAGTTGATGTTTAATGGTCAATGGATGATACTTAAGTACTCGTATATAACTTAACGTAGTAATTCATAAGTAACTTACTCATGAATTTACTCCCTCCCTCCCATAAAAAATTTTTTGGAACGTTTGATGGAGAAAAATGTATAAAAGTATCCAAGATAAGAGTAAAAGTTAACCAAAATAGAAGGCTGATTATTTTAATTTCTTATGAGTATACCAGCCTTTTTCATTTTCAATTTTGGTATGTGCCCTCGAATCTCTAACCTAATTTTGGTACGCTAAATTTCGAACAATATGTAAAATTTTATTATTTTTAAAACTATTTTAATTATAAATTAATATACAGGTAAAAAGTATAAATTACACCATTCAAAAGTATATAAAAAATTTACTCAGCATAAAGCAAGAGGTGATAAAAATACTTTATTTTTTCAAATTATCAATGAGAAAGTATAAATAAACAAAAGTTATGAAGAAGTCAAATTATCAATGAGAACGTACAATTAAACAAAAGTTATCAAGAAGTCGTAATAAAGGTGTTAAAGGAAGAATATATTTCCGTATATATTATTCTGTATATGATAGTTTCCTTTGTTGATTTCTTTTCGTATTTCTTTCCTTTTGTATTTAGTTTTCGTATAGAGTTCCTAGCAAGTGAGATGTTATATATATGGTCTTTGTTCATAATGTGAATATTAGAAATCCACAAGAAATTCTCCCAAAATAAGCACTGAGTCGTCCGCCACTCTTGTTCATCCGCCGTTGCTGGTTCGTCGATCGTCGCTGCCACTTCATGGGGTGTGATTGAGGAGATATATAGTCAAGACAGAATTTGAGTCTTTTACGCTTACCTGACTTACATAGATATGGCTTAATAGCACTTGAATGTCTCCTTATCTCCTTATGCTTTAGCCATCTTTGGACTGTGGATTTTGAAACCTCCATAGCAAAGCTAAGTGCACGCATGTTCTTGCGTCTAGACAAAAGGATTGCTGCCATTCTTTCCATGTCAACAGAGACCTTTTTTCTACTACAACTTCCTTTCCAATTGCATTTAACATCAATATGTAGACCAGACTCCAATTGTGCTTAACCAATTTGTCAAATGTTGCTCACAGTTTTCCTTGTAAAGTTGAATTCCTCAGCAACTTTGTTGATTAAACCATGCTAAAGTTTGCCATCCTTAGACTTTTCTATTAACACATCAGCCACTCTTTTTCTTTGTTGATTGAGTTAAGCTCTTTTACGCTATGTTTCTACTTCTATCTCTGTTTCAGGGGTGAAAAGATTGTCAAAGGGGACTTCAATAACAGCAGGTAGATAGTCCAAGGATGAGTGGTCATGTGTTAATAAAGAGGAAGGTGAAGAAGGCTGCTCAGAAGGGGGCATTGAAGGCAAACAGGGCAGTGAGAATTTGAGTAATAAAGTGAAGAAGATAGGTGAAATGAATACATTCATTTAAATATGTGTGTCACAATGAAGTTATAATTTCCCTTGTGTGATTTTAGATTGTTGTTTGGAAGGGAATATCAAATTTTCCCCAAAAATTTCACACATTTAAACACTTTGTATTTATGTAAGGGAGTGTCTAAAATGACACATAGGCAGTTACTTATACACCAATTGCTCACACTAGTTCGTTTGGGGTACCTACGGTGCTCTGTTTGTAAAAACGACGGTTCCTACCCCCCCTAACCCTCCCCCTAAACCCCCCACCCCAGCCCCACCCTTGTCCCCCCACCCAGGCCCCCTCCCGCCCCCCACCCTACCCTGGCACTACACTGCCTGGCAGTGTACTGACAAGGTAGGGTGGGGGCGGGAGGGGGGCTGGGGTGGGGTGGGGGTAAGGTTGGGGCTCGAGTGGGGGGTTTAGGGGAGGGTTAGGGAGTAGAAACCGTCATTTTTACAAACGGAGCACCGTAGGTATCCCAAACGAACTGGTGTAAGCAAATGACATCAGTAGCACTAGTGTCATATTAGACTTACCGTTTATGTAATGCATGGTAATGGTGAATGTAATCCTTATTTGAAACATATGGGCAATTAATTTGGAATGAGTACCTCTGCCGTATTTAATGAGATAAGTACTCAACTTGCTATAATATCTTGCTTTACACTATTTATGGACTTGATTGGATTTCTACTTTTACATTAGGGTGAGGGGTAAAATGGGGAGGTCAATGGAAAAATATGGTTCCCCTAATTTGCTAAAAAATCAAAATGTGTAACACTTAATGGGACGGGGAGTATATAATACCTTTTAATTGTGTTCTTTTGTATAATTTAAATGTTTGAGAAAAAAGTTATTACTCCTATAATGTGTTTTTAGTTTTAGTATTTGCTTTTGCTGTCATTTTTCTCTCTGTTTGTAATAAAATCTATTACTCCGTATTAGCTACCATTGTAATGTGTATTAATTTCAATATTTTCTATTGTTATTTTTTTTATAATTTTTTTAATTAATAATAATGTCATTTAAATATGTTACTTCATTGTTGGAACGTTGGTGATTAGATTTATATTAGGTTTCATTTCTTTTAACTTATTTTTTGGCGTATCACTCATTATTGCTAAACCAGATCAGAAACAACTTAGGGCTTGTTTGGGAAGAGCGTTTTCAATTAGCGTTAGTGTTTTAGATAAAATATTAATGGTGTAGATTAATTCGGAAAACGCAAACGCTAAAGGCTACCGTCAGATAACCTTTTCAAAACGCTAACGCTAATCTCTAAAGCTGATGCCAAACGGGGCCTAAATATAACTATAATCACATCAGACCAGATCTTCAAAAAATTAGATCAAATTAGACGAACAAAATGCAGCCTTACTTGGGTACTACCTCCGTCCCACTCTTTTTGTCTAGTTTTGACTTTTGAAACTGTTCATCTAAGCACTTTAACTCATCAAATTCTCTCAATGTGTAAGTCTAAAAATAGTCATGTGTGATCTTGTTTGATTTGTCTTAACATATAGATTATTAATATATAATTTTTATAATTTTTTAATATACAAATTACAAGATAAAATGAATTAAAGAAATGCATTGGATGATATGCAAAAATGAAAGTGGACAAAAAGAGTGGGACGGAGGGAGTAATTTTTTTTGTTATTTCTATTCGTATTTCTAAAAAAACTATGAGGGCACTGCTCCGAACTCTCATAATGGCTCCGTCCCTATTCACATCGCTCCTTTGAAAGTTTGGATCCTTGCCGGGGAGTAACAAGTACTGGAGAGTAAAGTGATTGAGGACCTATTTGGTAAAAGTGTTAGAGATTAACGTTTTAGATAAAATTTTAACGGAACAACTTACTTTAAAAACGCTAACGCTACCCCCCTTACATAGCCTTTTCAAAACACTAACGCTAATCTCTAACCCTATTCACAAACATGCCCTGAGTAAAGCACAAATGACAAGGAGCACATTACATGACACAAGTATGAACATATTGAACGATATTTGCAATGGAGATGTAGAGACAATTTAGAGGCGTGATAGAATTTTCATATAGTGTGTGTAGTCCCACGCAGAGACGTTGTTTGTTGTGTAACACTTCACGTAATCTTTGGTAGGAGCATGTCTATCCAATTTCCCTTGTAATTCATATTCCCATTGGAATTAGCACGCTTCCAAGATTTGTAGCTTATAATCATTCCCCCTTCATTTTTTGGTGACAACGAGGCGATTCTCCACCCTCAGTTGGCACCAAAAAATAGATTCTTAGAGTGGGGTGAAGCAAAGGAAATGGGCAACTGATGTGGAGAAGAACAAGAGGGGAATGTCTTGGTCCTAAAATTAGATCAGTCTATATAGCATATACTGTCTCGGGTCCTCAGAAATTTGGGGTTCAGTGCGGTCGCTCGGATCGCAGCCCCTCTGAGACCCATTTATAATGTGAATGTTTGCAAAAGTTGTAGGGCAATTATGCTGATAAGATAGGGTTATCCGGTTATGTTATGTCTCTAGGGACACACGTCTAAGGGCTTTCGGGGATTTTATCAACCCTCAAGAATACGAGACCAGATCTGTCTAGAACCTCATGTCGCCATAGCATATTGGTAATTCGCCCTCAAAATAGTTCTTGAATCATTTTCCCCTGATCATATCAAGACCATTTTGCATATACTCATACCAAAAACAAAAAGACCCATAGAAGAGTGGTTGGAGTCTGGCTAGGGGTAAGTCTAGTACCTCTGGTGCTTCAAAATAAACAAAGAAATAAAGGAAACTATTAACTCAGGTATGTCCATGCATGTTCGAATGGCTCAAGAACCCAGATTCATTGGATGCCTCATATGTACACAATCTCATCCAACCATCTCACTTGGAAGAGAAACAACTCCAAGATGTTTTTATTTCACCCGGTGAAGGGGGGAGTTGGTTGAAATATAGTGGTTTGACAGTGGATACTTAACTGTCATCGGTGGTTGGGGAAGTAAGCAAAAGGGGACATTTCTATATGTTTCTCTTCTTTTCATATCAATTCCTAAATCTGAATGGGGTTGATTTAAAAAAATGGGGGACAGATATGATTTGAAGTGCTTATGCTTACCCATCTAGAATCCAAGCCAAATCATGTCCAAAGCGAACAAAACTCCACCCTCAATGGCTCACTCCACAAGAGAATGTTCAAAAATCCCTGTAAATAACATGCAAATGGCAAGATTATTATAAATCCAGAAGCCTCAAATATCATTACCCCCCTTTTTCACATGCCGCACACCGAAAAACAAATGGCACTGTCCAAAAGAAACAGCATAATCAAACATATGGTTACCCAGCAGTGAAGTCAGTGAGCTGAGAAGCGAGTACAAAATACAAATACATACGCCTAGTACACTCATTACCAATTTATCATGTTTTTCCTTTACCAAAATGAGAATGAAATAGACATCGCAAAAAAGTTGACAGCCAAATTTCATAAAAAGCATACCAATGTAACACAAACACAACTGCTTATACAACATAAAGCTCATAAAGCCATATATCATAAACCAACTGCTTATACAACATAAAAACACTTAAAACTAAAAAAACCATTGAGAGCAAGATATAAAATTCGAGTCTTTTGCACCAACTATCATATTTTTGCTCCACCAAAGTAGCATGAAGTAGCATCCACGCAAATATGAAAAACCAAATTGCATAACAAAGTATACTAACACAAGCACATTTCATATCCAAAATAAAACAAGAAACTATGGCATCATAAGACATGTTAAATAAGGACATTGACTTCAATTCTCAGTGATAAATTCCTGCTTTCGCCCCTCAAATCCAGGCCTCATAAGCTTCTTCTCCCTTTTAGCAATTTTCCTCATTTTCTTATCATGGATTCGCCCTGAAATGTTCTCCCGCCTCTTCTGTTGTCTCTCTTCCTTGAATTTATCTCTAGTTTCAACCCTTTCCTTCCATTTCTCAGAGCTCTTCTCTTTTCTCTTCTTCTCCTTCTTCATACTCTCTTTCAAAAGCCTTGGATCGTCGTGGACCTTCACCCCCATGGCCCTATCAGCTGCAGCTTTCCAAGACTGTTTTTCTGCTACATTTGGTTTCTCCTTCTTCAACTCTTCCAATCTCTTCAACCTATCCAGCTCTTTCTCTTTCGAGAGCTTCTTCTTCTTCTTTCCCTCTTTCTCATCGTCCCCAATCTTAACTTTCCCAAATTCAATGTCACTAGGAAGATTTCCAGAATCAACTCCAATGCTGCTGTTCTTTTCACTATTTTCCCCTCCGTCCTCATCCCTCTTTCGCTTCTTCCTATTTGACTCCCCAAAATCCCCATCATCAGCAAACGCTTTCCTCTCAAATTTCTGACCTGACCCTCTGTTACCACGAAGGGCCTCGATTTTCATGCGGAGCCTCTGCCGCAACACTTCATATGTGACAGAAGAACCGTCTCCATTTTCCTTATTATCACCTTCGCCAAAATTCAAAGGTTTTTCGTTGCCTGAATCATCCTCAAGTTTCGTCTTGTCTATGGACTCTTTAAGGAGGCCGAGAGTTGAGGATTGAGCAATCTTCTTTTCCGGATCGAGTCGATTGCGACGAGCACGTTTGAGGTTCTCCCTGGTCTGTCGTTTCAACGATGCCTTTTTGGATTTCGACAAACCTTGGTACCATGGCTTGGAGTCCTCCTCGGTTGGGAGGTAGAATTTGGGTGGGATCAGGTTCACTAGATTGTCAAAGAAGATGCGATTCTCCCGGATAAGGGCTTTCAGGTCCGCCGCCCCTGTTGAAGAAATAGTCGGAGCTTCGACGACGGCGGAAGGCTTCTGCTTCTTCATGGTCTTCCGCCCCTGATTCTCTTCTTCCCCAATTGGGATTTGGGACTTTGGGTTGGCTGCGTAGGGAAAAATATTTATTAGAATGGGTCCGATAAAGTTTGAAGAACATACTGTTTTAGAACTCCAAATCATATATTTGAAAAAAAAGGAAAAAAAAGAAGTTCAAACCCAACGCAGCTTGCTTTTATTGATACAGTTTGGGCCCGGACATGTCTTTCAAATTTCAATATTGGAACAAAACCTAACTTGACTCTTTTAAAACGGCCCGATTCCACGGACCAACTAGTCTGAAAACCCATCATGATCAATTTCGAATGTTAAGTAGAAGATACTCCATAATAAACTAATTGCCAAACAAACTATAAAAAGTGTCACGGCCAAAACTCAAATGGCCAAAACAGTTCCTAAAATCCCAAAAACACTCAATAAAAGAAAATAGATGCAGACTATGAAGCACAGGTGAGGCAACAGCTGCGAGTGCGCGACCTGGGCGGGGGTTGAGGAAAATTTCAAAAAAAAAAAAAAGGTGCGGGTGCGGCAATGGGTGCTGCAAATTTATTTACACATTTTTATTTGCATTATTCATTTCATTGTAAGATAGTAAGATAAATGTATTTATGCCAGAAATATTGACAACATATATCAATACTTTGAAATATTTCCACAATTAATTAAACTAATCAAACAATAAGCAAGTAACCTACAAATTCAAATAGCCAAAACAGCCCACAATTTGAAGAGGAAAGGGAGAGACTTAAACAAAGAGAAGGAAAGAGAGAGAGAGAGAGGCTGAGAGACGGAGCATACAGATTATTAACGTTAGAAGGCAAAACGGAGGACAGAAGATGATACCTGAAGAAAGATGGAGGGCGCCGGTCGCCGGTGATGAACGCGCCGGAGAGCACGAGCTCTGGACTCCGATCGATGGGAACGAAATCGAGATGGAAGGCTGGCGAAGTCTCTCTCTCTCTCTCCAAATGGATCTTGCGAAGACTGCGAACTAGGTCTGCTTTTGTGACTCCCCAATCTATTTAATTTATTTAAAGTTTCATTTATTTCAATTTGGACCCAATTTCTTTAAAGCTTTTCAAATTTGCCCCTCCCTCAAATAAAAAAACCAGATTGCCGCACCCACAGGCCACATATAGAGGTGTCAATGGGATCGGTTCCAGTTTGGAATAGTTCAATTCAATTACGGAGTATATCTTATAATTGGTTCGGTTCGGTTTAATTTTAGTTTGATTTAATTTCATTTTTATACATTTTTTGGTTCTGGTTCAGATGTCAATTGATTCGGAGCAACTTCGGTTTCGGGTATATTCCGATTCAAATATATTTCAATTCAGATATATTTTAGTTTGGGTATATTTCACTTTCGGATATATTTGCGTATTTGATATTTTTGAATTAGAACTTAACTATTTGTTCATTTTTTGTCATATTATTTTCATTAATCTATCATCAATTCATCACCTCATATTATTTGATACTTCCTTTGTCTTTCATATCTTATATTTTTATCATTTTTAGTTATCTTTTATAAATTTAGATTTTGAATTATGAAAAGAAAATTTATTTAGTTCTGATATAAAATAAATATAATTAGATTACCAAGTCACATACAATTTGGTTAAAATATGTTGAAATTGAATGTAATTAAATACAATTTAAGTGAGATTAAATGAAATTCAAAGCACATTGCATGTTTGGCCAACCATACACTATTAGATGAGAAAGGATGAAAATAATATTTTTTACCATGCTTTAGTTTGTATTAATTTTAATTAATATTTTTTATTTGAGTTTTAAATTTATTTTTATACCACTTTATTAAAAAAAAAATTAAACATATAAAATTTAACATTTTGTTTTGATATGTTAATTCATTTTGGATATAGGAAATAAGTAATACCGGAGTATAAGTATATATAACTAGTTCAAATGGTAAAATAATAAAAAATAAAATCAAATGTAACTGTTCACTAATGTACATAAATATAATATATTTTTGGAAAAATCAATTTCAGATATAATCAGTTTCAGGTTTTGTCAGTTTTAAATTGAGTATAGATATATTTAGTTTGGTTTCGGTTCAGTTCGAATCATTTTAGCTATTCGGTTATAAACTCGATCTTCATTTTTCGGATCATTTTGGTTTGGATTTTTGATCATTGAGTTTGAATAAGCAGTTCCAGTTCTATCTTGCCAGGTTTGCCCACATCACACCATTGTCGCACCCAGCGACACCCTAGCACCAGCACCCATAGGGTGCTTAGTGCGGCTATATTTTGGAGCACCCTTGCTTCATAGGATGCAGTCTTCCAAGCATGTCATATGATGCACCAGCACCCCATAGGATGCTTAGTTCTTCAAGCATGTCAAACACCAAACTCAACCAAACGACCATTTATGAACGTAGATGAAGGGTTATACGCTTGGATAGGGCATCAAAAATATAAAAATTTTATTGTCCAAACGTAGATCCACCCAAGACCTCTTATGATTATTACTCCCTCCATCCCACTCTTTTTGTCCACTTACCTTTTGGCACACCATCCAATGCACTTCTTTAATCCATTTTATCTTGTTACTTGTATATTAAAAAATTATAGAAATTATATATTAATAATCTATATGTTAAGACAAATCAAACAAGATCACACATGATTATATTTAGTCTTACACATTGAGAGAATTTGATGAGTCAAAGTGCTTAGATGAACAGTTCCAAAAGTCAAAAGTGGACAAAGAGAGTGGGACGGAGGTAGTATAAGTTATTGTTAAAGAATATACCTTTCTTGGCAAGTGTATGATTAGTCCTAGAGCTAGCCACAAAAGTATATGATCTCCAGTTGAGACATACGAACAACGAAGAGTGTTCTAGACAAAACTATGCAAGTAATTTTTCTCTACAATATTTCTTAAATATAAAATATTTGGAACAATTCCTTCAAATAATAGATATAAAGCTCTTGAAACAATTGCTTCAACGACACATCTTATTTGTACAACTCTTATCCCTTTATCACTAATATCTTGATTTAACACAGGGTATGGGGTGTGTCACCTTGTTAGAGTTAAATCGATGATTTACTGATTCTTCGATTGACTTGTGGGATTCAAATAACATATTTATTTGGGCATGACCATGCACTTCCCAAGTCACATCAATCAATGGGCCCTAAGATATTATATTTCATTGAAGAATAAATAAATTCTATCTACGTCATTCACATCTTTGCTTAAGCTTCATTGCATACCCAAAACATAATTGTACATTCACCAATATTTCAGATGACATAAATCATGCTTCAAAGTATGCAACTCAACTTACCAAAGATCGTAATGACTTCAAGTTGAAGGACATTTATACTAATGGTCACATGAGAATAATATTAACACTTTAACTTAAATCCATATCTTATTCTCATAGCGGGTCAATGCAGCAACATATCCAATATGTTTGCTTACGTATAGATTCAGATAACACTTTATCTATAACCTGTGAGACGCAACTATCTCATCTCATACGTATTAGTCTTGATATATTATCGACTAAGGATATTTTAGACGTAGCCTCTATCTTTGTAACAGCCTCATAATCAGAACGTCGTAGTTCTCATCTATGTTACTAGAGCACATACTATATGGACTAAAGCTATGTTTAAATCACACGAGACGACTTAAACAATCTTTAGAGCCTATTATTCTTGATAATATAAATAAAGAATCATAAGTTGGCCTCTAGGGCTCACTTATATTCAACAGTAGAAACGATCTATACGAACACTGTAGTCACTAGATATATCTACGGGCTTACCTCGATGCTTAATAAAGTTTTTGGAGATTTTCCGGTGAAACTTCCGGAGACAATAACTCTCAACTCCGGTGACCTCTCACTAAATTGAAAGCACCGGTGTGTTCTCCTCACTCAAAGCAAAAGAATAGAAGAAAGTATTGAATGTTTTGGTGAAAAACGAGGAAGATTGATTTTCTTAAACAATAGAAAGAGGAGGAAGAAGACATTGGGTAATTATCCGCGAATCTTGAGAATCGGCTAGTGCGCCGTTCGCATAGTATCCGCCGTTTGTTTGGTTCCCTTTGCGGTCAGACAAAGGAAATCCGATTGAACCGTTGCGGTCAGACATTAAAACTCTACACAAAGATATACTCGTAATTTTTATTATTTAATGACAAATTTTATAAATCATATATTTTGGGTCCTTCTCAATAATTAATTAATTATCAATTAATTAATTCTGATAGATTTATTTTTGGGGCGTTACAAAATTATAAGTACTCATTCTCAAATAACTTAATGTTCATTCTCATATAAAATAAAATTCATACCATAAATAATTTTTTGGTTGCAGCCAAAATTGGGTAAAACCTGATTTATACTCCGGTAATATAATTTGGCTGGTTAGAAGTACAAGGGTGTAGTTTATTACAGAGGTCGGTCGTTTCCGGAGAGCTCTGTGCAATCGGATTCGACATAGAACCTGGAGATTCGACATTGAAAACGTCAAAGTGATATCAGATGATACTCTTGCAGTCCCACTCTAGATACCTCCTTCAGATCTTGTCAACACGCGTTCAAAAGTTCGTACCAACTGTTTAATCTTTATCTAATCTTCTCCAATCTGTCTAAGATTTTCCACTTGGATCGAAGGATTTGTTGTGTGATTGTTTGTGTTCAAAAGTGGTTGTAAATTTCGGGGGTAGGGTTGTAGTTTTATTTTGTTATTAATTGATATGCCTTGGTCGCTGAATTATAGTCTGGGTATATATGCTGTCGAATGAGTTATATAGAAATGTACAATGTTTTTATAGAGCAAATTTTCAAGAATGCTGATTTATCTACTTGATTCTGCAGTCTTGATAAGGGTGTTGAGCTTGATTGTCAATGGGTTGAGTTTGATGATATTCGGTTCCACATTCAGGTGAGTTGCAGACCGGTCTTCTTTTAGAAGAGCCCCATAGCTCTGTCTAATTGTATTATGAGCTCATCGATTGGAGTTCGTATTGACTATTAAGACAAAAAAATTGCACACATGTGGTGTGGTGTTGAAGGTGTAATGAATGAATTATTCTGCAGGCTTCAACGAGGAATTCAAATATCTTGCTACTTTCAATGTCCTTGCCAATACCTCCTCCCGAAACTGAATTCTTTGGAGGGCTTCCACTTGGAGCAATAGAAGCCATAAAAGCTACCTATGGTGTGGTTGCGCAGATCCTTGATCCCCCGAGAGATGGCTTTAATCTCACGTTGAAATTGAACTTGTCCAAACTTCCTCAAGAAGAAGGTTCTACAAGTCTCTTCTTTAAGGTCATTATGACTTATGGCTTGTCATAATTGTGCTATAGGCACCCCCCACAAATATCTTTTGCATTGGCTTAAAGTCAGTAAATTTTGGTTTAATACTTAAATTATCTGCCATTCTGCCTCTATTATAATGCATTTTGAGCTGACGGTCTCCTTGAAACAGTATATTTACACTCTGAGTAGGGGTATGGTCCTTACACACCCTCCCCCGACTCTACTCTATGTGAATTTACTGGGTCTGGTCCACAGACCCAAATGGAGTTGAGATTACACTGGGTTTGTTTACTTATATCATATGCAGGATAAAAAACAGTCAAAAAAAGCAAGAAACTTATAAACCTAAAACACATAAACCCAGTTAATCCCACTCAAATGTAGGGTCCAATGAGTAAATATGTTTTTTGCAATGCGATAAAACATAGAAATGCGATTGATAGTGTGAAACCTAAATGTTATGGGATAAATTCAACGTAAAAAGTTGTAAATAAAAAAGGAAAATTATCTTGTGTGCCTATTCATGTATTCAGACCCTAGTTTTCATGTGTGCCTAATCATGTATTCAGACCCTAGGGGGCATAAGGTACACAAGTACACAATTCTGGAATCACCACTAACTTGCATTTCCAAAACATATATGTGTGTAATGCCTTAATAAATGATT